GACAGATAAGTCAATTCTTGACACTTTCCCACAAAGACCAGACCATCTGGACACTTTGTATTTGTAACAGGTGCTTCTGGGACTTAGAGCCTAATTCTGGCCCAAATTCTGTTCTGTATGGGTGACTCCGTCACTGTGTGCAACTGCACATTGCATTAATTGAAGGGACTCAAAAAGGCCAAGTACAGTAATTAGTCAGTTGGTCATGCAGAAAGGAGACTAGTGGCTTAGTGCCACCGAATGTTGAATGCACAGATGTACAGCACCATCAACTTTTGCTCTCTGCGGTACTCTGCTAATCTCTGGCAGGTAGAGCAAAGATCTGTCTTAGTCCAGGTTTTCAGTCTCCTGGAAGCAACAACATAAATTTTATATCCACTTGGGAGAGAAATCATGAGTTTGAATGACCTAAAAAAGAAGCCACATCAGCATAAAATCGTCAGAATACTAAAAGTGCCAGATGGGCCAAATATGCTAGTTAGGTTTTTAGGTTCCTGTCTGAGTTTTTAGGTTTGTCCAACAGCAACTGGCATATGTAATAGAAGCTATGAAATGTGTGTGATCTCAATTTTAGAAGCTTGCTTTTTTGAACTATGTTGTTTTTCTTTGCATGTACTTCACTTTTTTGTAGGCCTAGTTGTTCTGAGGTAATGATCAGAGATTGATCAGAATTGTTAGCTAGTGTCACCTAAAAAGGTAAGAATACGCCTGCTGTGCTACTCATTGCCACTGAGCAGTATAGTTAACTGTGGATAGTGGGAGCATTCAAAAAGGATATAAGTGAAACTGGTTTGTATTTGAGGTTTTGCTTGGCTTACAGCACAAACAAATACTTTTTCTGCATCCTTTATGAATGCCATGTATGCTATTGTGCTATACATCCACTCAGAGTGGGTTTCATAAAAAAAGCCTGAATTATTGCATTTCACTGTGATGTAAAATTTCTAGACTTTCTGGTCAGAACAATCAGAACTGGTAAATTGAAATCATAGTTTGCTTAGGCCATTATTTTCACTATTATATTAGGTCTTACATTCGTTGTCCCCTTGAAATCAGCATCTGCACCTTACATTGCTGTGATATACTACCACTGCCTTTGCTCATGGCACTCACTACAAGAATTACATATAATAGTAAAATGTAGTGTCTGAAAGATTATAAAAACTGTTTTTTCTAGTGGAGTAAATCATTACTGGTGTAATTATAGCTGCAGTGTTTTACTCTAACCATGGACTGGGTTCATAAAATTCTCTTTTCCAAGCTCAGATTATCCTTTCTGTTCCTACGTGGGGTCCTGAGAAATCAAGAGCGTAAGACCCAGGAGATCTTGAGGAGGAAATATTGCCTTATTCTTTGTCACTTGTGGAAATCAACAGCTTTTTACTACTACTTATATTCCTAAATTGTAAAAAGAAGTGACCTACATGTCGAAATAACCAGTGTTACTTTAAACTTTACACATTTAAACATCTAAACACCTACAACAGGTACTGGCTGACTTGACTTACCTGAACTATTTTTGCTTAATCACAATGACATTTTTAGGAAAGCAGAAGAGAAAATTAACTGGGCTGTAATGTTCAGACTTATATTGGTAATAAGCGTGAAAGAAATCACATTTAAATTGTTCCTGAGGAGCTAAAGTGAGAAAAAGGACTGGGAAAGATACGTGAACCCAAGATACTGATCTTGTTTGATATTATAGGTTTCAGTATTACTCATCTGCTTTGCTTATTTAATTTGCTTGAGCAGACAGGGGAATCAAATATCCTGGAGAAAAGGATTCAGAGGGCTGATCATCCTGCAAAATTTTCAGTGGGAGTTGTGTATATTCATCTCTTGGGATTACTGAGCATTTAACATGCCATATTTCAGTTCCCTACCTAATTAACATACAGAACTGAGCTGAGAGACAGCACAAAGAGATGATGTGATGTGTTCAGTGATTTAAACAAAACTACCAAATCTCATTTTAAGCTCACTGGACTTGAAAGTGCCTCGTCCACTTATTTTTTTAATATCCTGAGCACATAGTGTATGACTAAAATAAACATATTGGTTGTTTTGATCGGATAACAAATATTGGAAACAGGTTTATACTTTAGTTGGAATGTTACTGCACAAATGGCAATAAAAACTTTCCAAACAGAAATGCAGTTTAGAAAGCCAACATTGGTTTATTCAGTGCTGGGTGCATGGGGGATCTCTCCTCCTAACATGCACACCTAGCCTTTAATCCCTTATACAGTTATACCCTTAGGTTACAAAATCATTACAAAATTACATTTACATCACCTAGTTACCTTATTGTGATTGGTAAAAAGTTTTCTCGCTTCGATTTAAAGCTATATGCTTAGAGAAATTCAAAGAGCATGTCCAGTGGGGGGTAGTCATACCTCGAAGGCGGGTAGCTTTCAGAGTGGAGGTGTGTTTTGGTATTATAATTAGATTATAATGAACAAAGTTCAGTCAAAGGACATGATTTTGACAGAAAATGAAATATTACTTATACCCACTGCCAGCTATGTGCTTTATCTATTCTATCGTCCATGTCAGGCTGGGGCTATACAATGGACATAATTGGCAGCCACAAACTGGTTAGCAACATCAAAGTAACACAATAACCCAACCATCACCACACCGTTCTGCTCAGAATGTTCTCTCCCCATCACCGTGATTATCCATTCAGTTACAGGAATATAATAGTCTTCTGCCCCAAAAAGTTCATAAAGAGTGGACAAGTTACTGGTGTAATCCAAGATGTGCATATGTCTTAAGTAATTCATTCTCTTATTCAAACAAAGCAAAATGATTGTCATAGAATGCATGTATTTTGTTTGAGTTGGAAAACAGGAATGTCATCTGTGGTACAGTGAAGATTGCAGGCAGCCTACCATCATCTTCTTTTATAATATAATTCTCACTTTCCATGTACATTTGCTAAATTTACTGAAACATTTGTAATTCCAAATACTAATCCTAGTCTAATTTTTATAATATAGAGACCATATATTGTTTCATCTACAGAATTTCTGTAATTTAGAAATAACTCCAAATATAGTTACCCCAAATTTGTGCCGAAGTAGCCTGGAGTAAAAGTTCACTTTCAGAGTTTATGTAAGAAAATATTTCATGGCAGCCATCAATACCAGTAGCAAGAACCATTCAGCCATCTAGACAACAATGTTTTGAATGAACATAATGGATGAAGAAACATGAAAAAAATATTGAGAAGTACAAAGACTGTCTTGCTAGAGCATCCTAACCCTGCAAATGCTTATGCTTACCTTCAGATGATCACAACTTTTATGATCACCAGTGCCATTCATTGTTATGTCACTGATACTATGTGTTTTGAAAAGACATCACTGAGGGTAGCCTCACCTGACAGCTCTGCCATGAGCTGCCAGATGGCAGACTGATTCAAGGGTAACACAACAGTAAGTACTGTATGATTTCCTTAATTTACCATAATTTTCTTGCTGGATACTCCACAGATATAATATAGTTTCTCTGAACATCTGGGAGTGTCTTGTTGTATACATATCATGTATACGCATTTAGCTGTATATATGTTATATGATTAAGTAGCATAGTGGCTAATTGTTTAGTGCTTTCTAGCAAACACCAGGCATATATCCAAAACATGCCTGATATTACAATATTGTCACCGAAATCCGGGAATAAACCTCGTAACACCAATGTAGTGCTAAAAGGCAGGCATTCTTTATTGCAGGGCTGGATGCACAGGTTATGTAGGATCAAAACACACATATTCATAATTTTTCTCAGAAAAGGCAGTCCTATGATAATCATTTCTTAGAATCCATTTCCATATTCTCCTCCCCATCATGCATGCCCAGTGATTTGAGACGGTGGTCCTCAAGGGGTCTCTGGTGGTCGTCAGTGGTCATGCACCCGTGTCCGCTGGATCACCCCCTTCATGCAGGCATGCGCAGTATCCTTGTTGTAGGTGCACCTGTCCATAGCAACTTACTTCATAAGATTAATATCTCCAAACCTATTGTTCAGTTTGGTAGGGACTGTACATGGAACAGAGTAGCATTGTACCTTGCCATGGTCAGTTAGCTTCATTACCTATTACCTTGGTTACAAATTAATTATCTCAACCTGATTCTATAGTTTCTGTTTCACGGCCCCTATCCCACAGTTACAATATTGTCCTATGTATAGAAATTAAGCTCTTAAAAATTCTATTTAGCCTGTACTTTTCTTCAAATCTAAACAATATAAGATTCTCCCAGCCAAGTAGAATAACGAATAAACAACAAAAAGTGTTTAATTGCACATTATCTTAGTTACATAATCAAGTCTAAAGAGAGAAGTTCATCAGCTCTACCTCTGAAAGCTTTATAGATATTTTTGTCACTTTGTATATACATTTTATTGGTCTTTATTTCTCTGAAAGATAAGGTAAGCTCAAATTCAAGGCTGTCTCTGGTCTGGGTCAAGATAGTTCTAATAGAAACAGCATTGACAGCAAATTCAAGTGTAAGTTAGGTGATAATTCTAGAAAAATAAATACTCAATCACACAGTAAAAATAAATTAAAAAAATGGTAAAAAAGAAAAGCAAAGAAAATTACAAGATACATGTTAACAATTTGGATTCCTCCATGAATGCATATCACCTTTCTATATGTCCATGAGAAAGACTGCCAAAGTTTTAAGGCTCTAAAAGGAAGTATCCCTTCTTTTTCTACATTATAATTAACTCAGCCTTGTGAAATTTAATTTGCTGTATATACTTCAGCACATGCAAAAATATACAATAATTGTCGAATATCAGTATGGTTTAACCATTATTTTTATTTCACATTTAGTGCTATATTTATTTCTTTACTTATTTATATGTTATTCTGAGTAGGATCTTACGAACACTTAATCTCTATTCTCAGTTCTATCACTACTGAATATGAAAGGTGGAATCACCCATCTGGACCATAGCACAGCCCCTGAGTGGTTCAACTGAGTCACAAAATGTCTGATTCAAAGGGTGAAGGTTATTTAAGGAAGATCAGCAATTTATCTCTGCTGCCACCATCTGTCATCTGCTCTCACATGACACAATTTAACCAAACACTATGGAAGGAGAATCGGGCCCTTCGAGAAGAGAATCAAAACCTTCAGCAAAAGAACAGAGCTTTTCGTATGGAGAACAAAGCCTATTATCAGGAGAATCAAAGCATCCAAAGACAGAACAAAGTACTTTGGGAAGAGAATAAAATCCTTCAAGAGAAGCATAGAGACTCTTCAGAGGAAACAAAGCACCTTGAGAAACAGCAAAAGGCACTCCAACAACAAAATAAAGCCCTCAAAGAAGAGATTAAGGCTCTCAAAGAACAAGAAAGAGCTTTTGCAATGGAGGAAAAAGCTCTTCAGCAAGAGATTTTAGCTTTATGGAATGAAAACAAGGCCTTCAAGGAGAAGCTTAAGGCTCTGCAAAAGGACAACAGGGCCATTCAGGAAGAGGAGAAAGCTCTTTGTGAGGAAAAAACTGCCCTCAGTGAGGAGAAATTTGCCCTCCAAGAGGAGAACAGGGCCCTTCAAGATGAGAAAACATCGCTGCAAAATCAGGAGAAAGCTCTCCAAGAAGAGCACAAAGTCCTCCATCAATGGAATAAGATACTTCAAGAGGAAGAATAAAGCAATATAAGCAAAGAATCAAATGCTTAGGGAGATTTAGCAGAATGAGTAAAGAGTTTACAAAGACAGTAATTTTCATTGTTAGCCAGATATCGTGGTCGAGTCTTCATAACAGAGCATCGGCAGCGACTAATGGATAAAAACAGTCCAAAGTATATCTGTTAGGCTTAGTGTAAAAGCCTAGGAAGTTTGAAAGCACTGAAACATGGATGTTGGTATCTTGGATCCCTGAAGCCTAATAAATTACTGCTGATAATACATAATGCATATCTGCAGATGTCGTCTTTATTAAGATATTGAATACCACATAAAACAAGTTTCTTATTATAGTATTTCAAAGTTTAGATTAACACTTTTTTTTTTTTTACACTCCAGAATATTGGAGGATATTCATAGAAAATGGATTCTGATGGAATAACACTAAAGTCATATACAAGTGAGACTGCGTCAGACTTCCACTTTTTACATCTGGACTTAACCAGTAAAGTAATGTTTCTGAAAATAGTTGGTATTAAATGCTTTCAAAATATGTTAATGAATCCTTTGCCTCAGAGATTTTCCTTCAAAGATCCAGTTTTAACATGAGTTTTGAGAAAAAAAAAAAAAAAACAACAAAAAAAACCCAGTACATCTGTGCTACTAAAGACAGAAGATCAGGAAGCAAGCTTGAACGCTGTCTTCCTGGACCATCCACAGTGCAACTTTTCTCTATTTCTGCTCTGTGCAGCTCCAACAGACAATTTCAAAGACAATAGGTATGCACAATTACTCCCAAAAGCAATGGTTAGATGAGTCAGGGTTTGTCTTTAATCTTACACATTCCTCTAATGTCAGCCTTGTAGGCTTTGTACCCTTGGGCATCTGCACATGTATTTCTATCACATTCCAGTACCCATAAACCAAAATTTTACTATCATAGGGTACAACCACCACCCTTGTGGTGTGCAAAGGTATTATTTCAATAGCTTGGAACTGGAAAACCACACCAAAATAAAACCAACGCATTAACACTACCTGGTGTGCATAGGAAACCAGGGACAAGAACTGTGTGGATGTGGTCAGGCTACTCTATCTGCATTTAGCCATAACAGACTGACACAAGCTAATATTTGACACTTGACTTTGAGTCCATACCTCTGGAAGAGATTTCCGGTTCACCTAGGAAATCAAGTTAGCAACAAAATTCTGTATTAAAATACAGAATACTTGTTAGTGTAGAAACAAAAGGACTAGAAAAGAAAGTTCTCTAGTCATGGTTCCAAAATCTCAAAGTGAAGTGATATTGCAGGCAGTGGAGTGAGGACATGTGTAGCTAGCACCTGAGACAAACAAATTAGTATTTCTTTTCTTTTGCCAAATATTAAACTCTTAATATCTCTGACCTTAAAGGCCAGAGAGGTTTTGGAAAGTTGAGCAGAGTGGTGTACTAGTGGACATCTAGCCTGAGAAAACTGATGCAATTTGGAAGGCATATTGTCCTGGAGAAACATCAAGAGTCTTTTTCTTGTACAGATGGTTTCCCAATGAGAACCCTGATATATGTGTCCTGGTTCTGGCAAGGATAGAGTTAATTTCACAAGGAGCCAGGACAGGTGAGCCAAGCTGGCCGGGGGCTATTCCATACCATGTGACGTCATGCTCACCATAAAAGGGGGCCAGTCGGGCAGGGGTGGGTTTGGCATAGCTCTGCGCCTGGCCTGGTCAGTCACTTGTCAGATCGGTAAATTGTTTTCTGTTTTCACCCATTGTTACTATCTGTTATCAGCACTGTTGTTGATTGTTTCCCTCTCCCTTGCTGTCCCAGTAAACTGCCCTTATCCCAACCCTCGAGGCTTTGCCGTTGTTTTTCCGTTCTCCTCCCCATCCCGCTGGGGGAGGGGTGAGCGAGCGGCGCGTGGCACTCAGCTGCCGGCTGGGGCTAAACGACGTCAGTCCTTTTTGGAAAAGGCTACTGGTGGGCTTTTGGAATAGCTGCCTTGGAAGCAGAGGAAATTGAACCATTGTCTAGTTTGCCTGGTCTCTCGGAGGACCCTTCTGTTGTAGGGTTGCTGAGGGTTGAAGAGCAACAGGTGCCAATTGCTACTACAACTGTGCACCGGCGGCAATACCGCACCAACAGAGACTCCCTGGTTCCCATCCACAAACTAATTCATCAACTGGAGGGTCAGGGAGTGATCAGCAGAACCCACTCACCCTTTCACAGTCCCATATGGCCAGTGTGAAAGTCCAATGGAGAGTGGAGACTGACAGTAGACTATCGTGGCCTGAATGAAGTCACACCGCCCAGGAGTGCTGCTGTGCCAGACATGCATTTTTTTTTTGGAGTCAAAGGCAGCCAAATGGTATGCCACAATTGATATCGCTAATGCATTTTTCTCGATCCCTTTGGCAGCAGAGTGCAGGCCACAGTTTGCCTTCCCTTGGAGGGGCGTCCGGTACACCTGGAAACGACTGCCCCAGGGGTGGAAACACAGCCCCA